ACTGAGAAGAAGGTGGAAGGATATTACATATATATAAATATATATACATATATATTAACAGATCAACAGGTTTGACACTATCATGCCTCAGTTCCACACTGCATACACAATTGTTTTACATCTGGTACTCAGGTGGTGCCTCACACTAAGACTGCACTATTTTCTCTCCTAGAGCCATCAGGCTCCGTGACTGACAAAGAGAGATCATGATTTTTCATACTTTGTATTTACGTTATTAAATAAATAGCTACTGTGTTTTTAAAAACAATAAAAAAACAATAGCAATAATGTTCTGACCTATAGGTGATTCTATGTGTTATCTAAAATAATTTCTTTATGATTTTTACACATATGTATTTTCTGAACTGTTGCAGAAGACTTTTGACAAATTTGTCGGTTGTAGATGACGACTCCATGGTGCTAAGCAATCTTAGAATCTTATTGATAACCAACGAGTCTTTTGCTTTGTATCAGAGAGGCATCAAACACTTTGGAGCTGTAAAGAAACATGAAAGCATATTAACCACTATTTTCACCCTCGACTATTTCTCTCACATCCCTCAGTTATTTTAAATTAAAGACTGGTAAATTCCTTTACTGTGAAGCATGTAGAATTTACAGTTACATAATCTGGTGCAGTGTCAGTCCATGACACTTTCATTATTCTGTTTTTTTTCTTTTCTGACCTCATTCTCAGTTTCATATATGTAAATGAGGAAAAAGAACCGTCTCATCTCTGATAGTTTCCAAGTTCTTTTGATCCTCCTCGGGGTGTGACTGTGTGTGTTTGTACACACACCGGTGCAATGGGGTTCCCAGCTTGTCCATGAGAGATTTTAGGTGCTGAGATATAATGCAAATAACAAAAAATTCCAGAGTCGATTTTTTGTCTTGTATGTGCGAGTGTCTGATTAGTATTCAAAAGGCTTTACTTTCATTTGGATGCAGGAATATATATTGTATGACAAATATGTGATTCATACTGCCCAATACAATATAAGTAATAGACTCGTTTATTTATTTGCATTTAACTTAAAAGAAAAAGGTTTCTGACCATGCCTCTTCAAGATTGCATCAAGCTGTCATCCCAGAAAAAACCCACAGACCTGTTTATTGAAATGAGTTTAAAGATAGGATTTGATAAGTTAGAGGGCCATTCTCTCCTTGTGGAGCTAATGTATCTCCCATTACCATTAAATGGTGCTATATGTGCATATTAAGGAAAGAATATTAGTGATTAATAACAACCCCCATTTTCCAGTGTGATGAACTCTTTCAGGAACCAGTGAAGGTCCTGAGAGCTGCCTAGTTTAGCTAAACTGTACTTTAAATGAACGTATGTTTTATAGCAGATCTTTAAATAAACCCAGTGGATTCATGATCATTTCAAGGTCAGTCTAGTCTTAGCTTTTGACATACAGCCATGTAGCTAACTGTGCTTAAGCGTAAGAAAGGGTATTTATTTCAAAGCTGCCAAACAGTGGTGGTTGGTCTGCAGCTCCCAAATTAGGCCATTTTACTATTCAAAAGCACTGTAGATTTTTTTCTCCCCTTGCCAGTTGATGATATTAACTAGTCATTTGTTCCTGAGAAAAGAAGGAAAAGGATGTGTGTTAGGCTCATAGTAACTTCAATTAGTTGTTAGCAAAAGATTTTATCCTGGTAGCAAAACCAGGAAAAAAAATCTTTTAAATTAATTTGAAGATGCCTACATTTAGAGAATGGCATTGCTTTAACAGGGCTATGCAAATGAGTCCAATTTAGCATCTTGTATTCAGCTGGAAACCATTGCTAAATGATCGGGATAGCCAGTCACAGATATTAAAATGAATTATATCTAATCTGAATTTTAGTCACGCTACATTAACTAATAGAAAGTTATTAACATTTCAAGAGAAAAAAAGCTTTTGCCTGCAAAATTAACAGTGGCTGAGATGTGACCTGTGAGCCATGCAGCCTGATCACTGTAATGACAGTGTAATGGCATATTTACATTAAAATCTCTGCAGCTAATATGTGATTCAGAATTGGACGTTAAGTCGAGGATTATTTAGTCTGGCCTGTTGGCCTTTCTCTAAGTAGTTTTTTTTTACTTCAATACAAATCTGAAACTTTTCATTTCATGACTATTTATGTGACTAGTTTCTATGGCTATGTCTCTCCATCTTTACATCAGCTGCTTTATATGGCCAGCTTACTCTTTCATTTTTCCCTTCCTTTTTCTAATGTATTTATCATTTTTTGTGGGCATGTATAACTCCAAGAAACCCACATTAGTTGCAACCCAGTCAGGAAAAGGAAAATGTATTTCTACTTCATTTTTACTGCTAATTTGCTTCAAAAGGCAGTATGTTTTCATGTTTTCCTTATAACACTTTTTAAATATACAGCACCCTGTAAAAAATGGATGATTCAAAGCCATCTTTATCCAGACAGTAGTAAATGTATAATTATAAAGCTATTCTTGCCCTTAGCAGACAATGAAAACCTGCTACAATTTCTCCTGCTACCAGTTCATTTCTACCAAAGCAAAGGCTTGAAAGTTATGGACCTCATAATCTGGCAATTGTACAATCTGTAGCCTTGTTAAATCTGTGGAATACTTGCACATATGAATTTGCTTGGTTCATTATTTAAAAGACAAAGCAACATTAAAAAAAAAATTGAGAAAATGCAATGAAATTAAGAAGCGAACTCTATAAAATTGCAACTACCATTTGATAATTAGAGCATTATTCAAAGAAGTCCAGTTTAAAGATGAGTTTGACTGGGCATGTGTTGGTTATTTGTACAAAACAGGACATTTTCATGGAGGTTCAGACTCCAGCTGAACCTTCAGTGCAGAGAAAAAAGCTGGATGCATTCTATTAATGCACTTTTTGAAAAATTTTAATTATTGATTTAATTTTTGTATTAAAGGTGGGTTTGTTTGCCATTTCCTATGAATCTATAGGCAGATATTATTTTGCATATATATGTTATTACTGAAATATATAATAATATATAATATATATTATTTTTAATGAAAACTTAAATAAATCACTAAAGCTAAAAGCAACAGTTAATGACCAAAAGCATATATCTTACACATTACAGATGTGTATGCATTTACATACGATATCAGACAAATATATAAATGCACAGGTTTCATTCAAAATAAGGAATAGAATTGTCCCATAATTAAGTCTTCAACACAAGTGGTATTCCTACTAATTTTGTACTTGCTGTTCTTTAAACTTTAAAAACACAAATACTCACATGAATCAACTTTTTCACTGGTTTGTTTTCTGTTTACAAAGGGTATGTGTTGTGGTTCTGCTTCAAATTAGACATATGTCAATCACATTATAGTTATGTTATAAATGCCACCTCACCTCCATTTCCCAATTACAAACAGAGAATAATATAGGGACATCTGTTTGACTGACAAGTATCTATGCAGAGAGCTCTGCACACAGATTTGTAATAATCACAGGTGCTTCATTTACTGCAAATGTACAGCTTCATCATATTTCTGAAATCTTTATTACAGTGCAGCCATACAATAAATGCTGATTGAAGGAATAACTAGAAATTTCATCTGATATAATATGGTAATAAGCTTAACTTCATTTGATATTTCTGAAATCATCTGCTAACGTTTGAATTTTCTGTTCATGCCTGGATAATACTGAGCTCAGAGCCAAAGACAGCCTCCTTTGTGGTCCCAGATGGACCACAGCTGCTTCAGGACCCATGGCCAGTAGATTCTAATGGCAGTAGAGCCAAAGAAGCCTCCTTGATATTATGGGACTGCCACTGAGACTCTTCAAAGACATCTGTTTTTATCCTTTTATCATACTTTGGACATAGTCGAGTGTCTGGTAAAGCTGTACCTATCCTGCAGCAGTTTCTGCTGCCCTTTAGATAGATACCACTGCTGAAAATTAGACCAGGCCTCTGAAAATAATACAGAGAATTAATCTTGTTTATAGTTATAGGACTGAGTTGTCCCTTTTCCCTGCAGTCCTGTGTGAATACCAGCGCCTCCATGCCCCCCACCTACTAGGGACCTGAAATGCTCTTCCAGTATTGCATTTGGCTTTTAAAATGGTATTTCCCCAGTTTAGTTAGGGTTCTTTTGTTTGTAGGTTGCCTGTAGCAGTTGTTGTCATTAATATTACCAATCTGAACATTAGCCGTACAACAGGACCATTTTTTACACTATCAGTTCAGGGCACTGTTATTTCTACAATTGCATCAGTGGTATTTCTGTTCAAAAGCCAGTTTAATAAGCTGGAAACACAAAGAATGTAGGAATGAAACTGCAAAATCTTTGATGTCCAGATTGACTAACAGTATCTGTGGAGAGTAGGAGAGGTTAAGACAAGACAGAGAGGCATCTAAACAGAAGTGAGCTAGAGACTCAGAGAGGTTGGGTTGGTTGCCTATGCTAACCATCTTCAAAGGTTTGAACAGAAAAATGGTGTGGCTTTAACAGCAGGTTTTGTTATAAAATAGAATAAAAGTCAGGGATGCTGAGCTTATTTTTTGAGAGAGGAGACTGAAAAGATAAAACCCTACTTAGTTAAGTTTGAAATGTTTTCAATGTTAAGTGGTTCTCAGGGGACCTCACTGGAATGTGGTCTTCTGAACCTGCCGAGGAGGTCTCTGGGAATTCAGTGGGCAAGAACAAGTGTCTCTCAGTAAGGTCCGTCTGCATCTTCAGAACTATCCTTTGATAGAAGAGGTTTCTCAGAAGTTGTCTGTAATGGTGAGAAAATTCCTTTTGTCACAGATCGGTTCACTGGTGATCCTCTTCTTTAGGAAAATGAATAGATTCATTAACAAAAAGTTTTCAGATGTCCAGTGCTGATCTACCACCTGCTAATGATACCCTGCCTACAAGTTTCACTGCCAATAAGCAAGATGCCATCAAAGGAATTCTGCTAAATATTTTGCTTGGTATTAGACAGGACCATACAACAACGAATGGTCATGAACACACTATTTTCTTTCAGGTGCTTCATTGTTCACATGCTAAAAACATGCCAGAAGACAATATCGCTCTTTACTTTCACTGTGGATACAGAATGACTAGATTAGCTGATGACATTCAGATTTAGCTATTTAGAAAAAGGTATCTGCCTGCTTTGGTGACAAAACACTCAAGGAGACTCACAAACAAAAGAAAGACATAGGGCTTCTTTCTGAAAACTGCATGGGCCTTATCTCTACTTTCAACACTATTTGTTACTACTGCAGTAACAGTAGTAACCTGCACCTCTTTCCAGCCATGTCTAATGAAATTTGCAGAAGACTGATATCTTTTGCAGTGTTCTTGATGCTATGTGATGTTCAGATCCTACTGGGCTGTTCAAGTTGGAATTTAAGCTCTGGTTTCCTACATTTTGGGATGGTTCTCTCAAAATACACTGTTGGCTTGAAAAAATTTCCTAGATTTTCTAAGAAATTTCTTTTCTAGAAAGAAAATTTATTTTCCATAAAATCCATGTTTATTCACACAACCAAAATGAGTAAAATATACAGAGGGATAGGGAGGGAGAGGGAGTGTAAGGAATTCCCAACTGAGAAAGAAGAACAGTTTTACTACTGACTTGAAATTTCTGTGACAGTTTGGGGAATCTGCCTCATTCCAACATTTTTAGGAGGTTACAGTTACTTTTATCAACTTTAATTTTGTGAAAAGTTTGCTTTTCATTGGCTTAATTTTCAACACTAAGGAGCTATCAATAAATGAATAAAATATCTATATAATGATAATGTGTTAATTGTGGTGCAGGTTCTTCAAAATTATCTGCAAAGAGATACCATCTGAAACTATCAAAATGCCTTATTTCCAGTAGGTGGATTGAGTGTTGAATGGAGCCCCTTTTAAATCAGTTTTGCCTTTTGCAGAATTCATTAAAGAACACACTTGAATCCTTTCTTACCCACCCTCTCCTGGTTGCTCTCCAAAGCTTCCTATGATATTCTTTTGCTGATTAGGGGTTTCCTCACCATTTGTGACAGGCTCTATTCTCTGCCTGTGTATCGCTCCCTAAAGCATCTCCATGATTTTTCTGACACAATGTTGAAAAAGAATCATTCTGAGGACTCAAGCAAACAACCTAAGCCTGTGAAGTGAATGATCAGCTCACCTTCCAGACCTTTGCTAAGTCTAATGCCCATTCTGAAGACTACAAAACCTGCATGCCCCAAACGAAAGACTAAACAGCCTGAAACTTTAGATTGCCACTAGCAGACAAAAGTAAGAAATGCACATAACAATCCTATATGCCCATGAGCTGGCCTATGTTATGAATGCTGAAATGGTTTGCATTTTGTGATTTTTTTTTGTTTTGTTTAATTTTTTCCTTTTGCTTAGCTCCTCACCTGCTTTCTCTGCTAATGAAGATTGTAATTTTCTTCAAATATACTCTTTTATAGAATCTAGTATCATCAGCCATTGGCCTAATCGCTGACTTTTGTCACATCACTCACATATACATAAATGGTAAATAATGTGACCAGATGCTTTCCTTAACTTACATGAATCTTGTAATTTAGTTTTCTCTTGGTTGTACCTTATTCTGTTTTCCAGTGCTGGCACTCAAGTGCTAGGCAAGGATATCATAGATTATTTGAGCTACATAACAGGGAGACTGTCTCCTAAATCACGCAGCTGAGCAGATGGAAGTATCATAAGCATGGGGAAAAATAATTAATAATTTACATAGTACAAAATGCCTTATGACCATTGTGGACTAGCCTTATGGAAAAGAGAGGGACTCAGTGATTAAAGAACTTGAAACTAAATGTCAGCAAACTATTCACTTAACAAATAGCACCCTAATTTCTTCTTGGCTTTCTATGCTGTCACTGTAGTCACATAAAACATAGCTTCTGCCCGCAAGAGATTATACTTTCTGCAGAAAACATGAGAATTCAAGTAAGAAAAGAGAAAGATGAAAATAGCTGGGCAGAAAAGCAGAGCCTTGTGCATGTTAAGAAACTTGCAAGCAATGTAAGGACCAACACTTCTTGTTACTGGGCCTTAGCTAGAAAGTATCTGTTAAAAGCAAATGCTTGACCCCATGGAGTCATAGGAGAGAAGGGAGGTGAATGAGGCATCAAATCATGTAATTGCCACCTCTGACAGACTCTCCAGCAGTGAAGAGTGCCCAGAAACTGCACCCGCCAGCAAGAACCACATTGAAAAAACTGAAGACGTAAAAGGAAAAACCCAACAGACAAATTAAAGTATGTGCCAAAAGATGGAAAAGACGATAGAGACAGTGTGAAAATCCATTCATAGTCCTGAATAATTCCTGTCACATTATTGAAGAGGAAAGTGCCACCTGAAAACAGTTGCATCCATGAGTCCAGGGGAAAAAAAAAAAAAAAAAGCCCAGCTTCTAAAACCAAAGAACTTCTATGCTTTGCTCCCTTCAATGCTCACTCTTACATTACCTCTAAAATCCTTTTTTCCAAACCAAACTTCTGAGGACGTATCCTCACGACAGTCTCTGGTCCACCATCTGGGTCATGCATCTTTTCTGCAAAGCATAGAATCATAGAATAGTTAGGGTTGGAAAGGACCTTAACATCTAGTCACAACCCCCTTGCTGTAGGCAGGCACACCTCACACCAGACCATGTTGCCCAAGGCTCTGTCCAAGCTGGCCTTGAAAACTACCAAGGATGGAGCATTCATGACTTTTTTGGCACAAACTCTTTCAGTGCCTCACCGCCCTCACAGTAAAGAACTTCTTCCTTGTATTTAACCTGAACTACCCCTGTGTAAATTTAAACCCACTACCCCTTGTCCTATCAGTCCCTGATGAAGAGTTCCTCTCCGACATCCTTGTAGGCCCCCTTCAGATACTGGAAGGCTGCTATGAGGTCACCACGCAGCCTTCTCTTCTCCAGGCTGAACAAGCTCAACTCTCTCAGACTGTCTTCATACGGGAGGTGCTCCAGCCCCCTTATCATCCCTGTGGCCCTCTCTGGACTTGTTCCAACAGTTCCATGTCCTTTTTATGTTGAGGACACCAGAACTGCACACAATACTCCAAGTGGGGTCTCATGAAAGCAGAGTAGAAGGTCAGGATCACCTCCTTTGACTTGCTGGTCACACTCCTTTTGATGCAGCCCAGGATACAGCTGGCTTTCTGGGTTGTGAGTGCACACTGAAGCCAGCTCATGTTCAATTACTCGTCAGCCAACCACTTGTTACCAGTCTCCATTTGGACATTGAGCCATTGATCATAACTCTCTGCATGCAGCCATTCAGACAATTCTTTATCCATTGGAGCCAGTTCTTTATCCACTTACATGTCTTAAGTCATAGCTATAGATCTTGCCTGTTCAGTTAACACAATCCGGATCTTTTATTGGTTCATCTTTCTGAACAGGCACACAGAAGTGACTAAAATTAACTAAGGACATGTTGTATGCTTGAATGTTAAAATCAGCAAACTCATCACTGCCATTAATATAATGATTTTAATGGTCTTTTGGCATAATCATAATATGCTTTACTTAAAATACCTTTGACTTGGAAGCAGGAGATAAAGACCTAGATAACATAAAATAAAACTGAATAAAATAGCTCCTCTAGCTCTTGAATAAATTCCTACTGGTCCCACACAGTATAATTTAGATATGGATTTGCAAATTTTATTGAACAGCTATGTATCTCATGCCATTTTTATTTTTTCTGGTATTAAATTTAGGCAATTTCTAGTGTTGCTGGACAGACAATGTCAACAAAAGCAAATTTTTGAGCTTAAAATTAAACAAAAATACAGTTTGACTTTGACCTTTACAAGGACACTTCATGTAAAACTAATTTACAAACATTTCAGTCTTAAAATGTTAATGCACTACAAGGTTAATTGCTCTGATTAATCCATAAAACAAGAACCATATGCCCTTTCTTATATTAACCATTATTTACTTATTTCATTCTTATGTCCAAAGTAAGTCCAAAATCTCCTATCTTTGCTACAAAACCCAACAAAATGTTAGTTAGCTAGATCTTGCAAAACTTAACTGGTTTCTACTTGTGTGCTTTCATTAGTACTAAAAGTCTTGGCATAAAAAAACATGTGGCAAACAGGGTGGTCAGCAGTTTTTTAAGATCACTTGCTGGAGCAGTTTAAGTCAAAGAGGCTAACATATCTCTTTTTTGGTTAACAAAATATTTCTTTCTTTTCCCTTGCCTGTGATTTGAGAACAAGAGAGGAGATTTTTATGTGCATATGTAGCAATGGTAAGCAGCTGTAAAAACCTCCCACCCTAAAGATTGATGAATATATGTTTCATTAACACCAGCACATCTGAAAGACATTTGACACTTTGGAAGACTATGGTTCTTTAAAATGCCTCAGATGAAATGCCTCGTCATATGGTCTTTAACTTCCATCTTAGGAGCCTCTAGTGCCTTCTCCATTTAAAAATTTGTAAAACCTTAGCTTCTGAATGTACCTGACCACAGCCTAAATATTTATTTTACTAGAATATTTGGTTGGAACTATACACGTACATGCAGATGTGAGATCTGCACCAGAAACATGCGAAAAGTCTTTCTGAAATCTTTATTAATTCCTCCATCCTGTTTATACTGCTTTTCTGTTTGTGATTTTAAAGACTCACCACACCCTACAAATATCAAACAATAGATAACTACAGAGCAAATACTTTCTGACCATCCCACGTAATTTTTGTTGAATGGCTGTTAACAATGGTCAAATCTGTAAGGTACACCCTCTTTTTTGTGGGTGTAGTGCAAAGAAATCCAAAACCTGAACCACACGGATAACTATTTTTTAGAAATAACATTTTCTGAGTGCTTCTAGCTCTGACACAGTCCTGGATGGAGGACATCCACCCAATGATTGTAAAGAAAGAGCTGTCTTCCAATAGGGCGTTTATCAGTGGTATGGGTAGAGGGCCCTACAGGATGCTTGTCTCACACCCCTGGAGAGAAGATTGGCCTCCACTAATACATGTGGTGTCACTGAGGGCAGGCAGGCAGGTTTCCGTGCAGACTCAGGTAAGCTCAAAGGCTTTTGTCCATTCAGAATGAAAAGTACATTGTACTTGACAATAAACCTGCCATTTGAAACCTCAGGGGTTTTAATCTTATAAATAATAGAGTTCAGAGAAGAAGGGTTTGCAAGTCTGCATAGCGCTGCCTGGAATTCAGATTTATGTAA